CCGTGCGCCTTTCCGAGTGACCCGCAGCTCTCCTGACAGTGACAGCGCCCAACGGGAGCACGAGGCTCGGATCCGGCCCTGCCGCGCTCCCCGGCCGGGATCCATGCCCGAGAATCGTGCGTCCGCCGCGAGCAGCGCGAGCCCCGCCGGCCCCGCCCGCGGGCACTGCTCCGGTGACGCCCCGAGCGAGCGCGGCCTTTTTCCTCTTCTGTCTCTGCCCCTGCCCCCGGCCGCACCGCGCAGCGAGGCGCACAGCCCGGCGCGCTGTCTCTCTCCGCCCTTGCCCCTGGCTGCAGTGCCCGGTGCGCGTCACGCGAGGGCAGCACCGAGCAGGGTCTTAGTTCCCTGGCTTTTGTTCCCGGCTGCAGTGGCGCGTTTGTGCCACAGGAGGACGGCGCGGAGCCGGCTTTCGTGCTCTGCCCTGGCGGCCCGGTTGCAGTGCGCGGGGTGAGGCCCAGGAGGGCAGCACCGAGAGGGGTTTGGTTTGGTTTGGTTTGGTTTTGACCACGCTACGCGGATGCATGAGCCCAAACCAGCTCGGTGTGTATGAAGTGCAGCTATTAAAATACACTGAGCTGCAAAGATCATATTTGACTACCTAAAGCGATTCCCCTTGTTTCGGAGGGAGGAGGAGAGAGGGATAGAGCGGGAGGATCACTGTTTATTGTGGCACGTGCTGTCATGCATCCCTCGCTACTAGACACATCTCGGCACAGTTTCTAGTTCTTCAAAATAAGCGCGCAGCGAAGCGCGCCGTCAGTCAGCACCGGACTCTTGTACAGAAAAGATGCCCAGCTGCCCACTAGCATTGAGCCGCAGGGATTTCTTCCAGTTCTCACTGAACAGCAACGGGCTGGTTTTCATTTCTTTCTTTCTGTAAAAAAGGGGGACTAAAAAAGACTTTCCCGCCTGGACCGGGGACCACGGGGCCGGGCCGGGTCGGGCCCCGCCCCTTGGAGCCACCGCGCACAGAGATGACGTTAGCGCGGGCGCGCTTTACGTCACCTCCGGAAGGTGAGGTCAGCAGAGGCGCCGCCATTTTGGGTGGCGGGCGGGCGCGCGGAGGGCCGGGCCGCGGCGCAGGGCCCATGGCCGGGCAGTTCGACTGCGAGGACCGGGCGAGCTGGTACTGGGGGCGGCTGAGCCGGGCCGAGGCGGTGTCGTTGCTGCAGGGGCAGCGCCAC